CTGGGTTTTATATTATTCTTTCTATTTCCACAAAGACTGATACCTTAACCTATAGCTCTTTTAAGAGCTTTTTAAAATATAAATATTCAAGTGTATGCTGCTTTATTTTTGTTTCTTGGTGGTGCCGTTAATTTATAAATGAATTTTATCGTATCCACAATACAAGGTCTGTATGAAATCCAATTTCTGGAATTTGTTGTCAATTTTTACAAATCTTTCCTGCATGCTCAAAACAACATTTTATTCTCTGGCTCTTGGGATATATTTCCTGTGCCCATCAGATCAAGCTTATTAAGTGCATAGTTCAAATTCTCCCCATCCTTTATAATTTTTTTTTTTTTTTGAGAAGGAGTTTTGTTCTTGTTACCCAGGCTGGAGTGCAATGGCGCGATCTCGGCTCACCGTAACCTCCGCCTCATGGGTTCAGGCAATTCTCCTGCCTCGGCCTCCTGAGTAGCTGAGATTACAGGCACACGCCACCATGCTCAGCTAATTTTTGTATTTTTAGTAGAAACTGGGTTTCACCATGTTGACCAGGATGGTCTCGATCTGTTGACCTCGTGATCCACCCGCCTCAGCCTCCCAAAGTGCTGGGATTACAGGCTTGAGCCACCGCGCCCGGCCCATTCTTTATCATTTTTGTCTATCTGATACATCAATTACTAAAAGAGAAGAGAGAGAATAAAAATCCCTTACTTCTCTTTGGAGATCTGGCACTTGTTGCTTCATATATTTTAAACCTATGTTATTAGCTAGTATTACCTCCTGGAAAATTATCTTTTTTCTTATTATATAGTTATTGTTTTTGTCTGTAGTAATGCTCTTTGCTTTGAAGTCTATTTTGTCTGTTAGTAACAGATACCAGGAACATTTAATAGTATTTGCCTGCCACCTATCTTTGCATTCTCTGTCTTTCAACTGTCCTCCATTCTTATGTTTGATGTGTTTTCCTTGCCAAAAAAAAAAAAAAAAAACAAAAAAAACATGAAATTGACGGCCTTAATTTTTTGTCTTGGTCATTTTTCATAATCCCTGTGATCTCACTTATAATTAGCCTTCTATTTTTCTTTTCTAGTGTTATTTGCCTTGCTTTTACAGAGCTTTATTTTTTTCTTCTCTTGCTTTCCTTGCTGTGCTTACTGGTTTGTTTTTCTTCCTTTGAGAAGTTTTATTTTTTGTCTTATAAACTTTTAAAAGTTTAAAGTTAGTATGCTGACATGATTGCTGAATAATAAAAATATCTTAGAAGACCTTCATTCTAATCATGTCACAAAAATTCCACCGTATGTTAATGTTGCTCACAATAGAAGGTATATCCTGCTTTACTTAGCTCTCAATATTTGACATTAGCATTATTGAATTTAATCATTAATTATTTTTCATTTATCCACATTTTTACTCTCTTCCTTAGTCAGCATATCTTGTATCTTAGACCTTCCTTCTGGGATCAATTGCTTCTTTCTGAAGGACGTATACTGCACGTTCCTTGTTGCTAGCAAACACTTTCAGTTATTTCTCAAAATGTCTTACTTTTCTTCTTGTTTTTGAAAGTATAGAATTATAGATGGCTCCTAAGTTTTTTCTCAGCACTTTGAAGCCAGCTGTCCAACAGCCACTTCTTTAATATTTCCTTTTTTCTTGCTACTTTTATGTTGTTTTCTAAATAACGAAATTGCAAAAACCTCAATGGCAAGGTGCTTACAGCTGGACTTGTTTTTAATTATTTTGTTTTGGATCCACTGGACTTCTTAAACCTGAAGATTTATGTCTTTATGTGATTCTGGAAAACTCTTGCCTGTGGTATTTTCAAATACGGCCTTTTCATTCTCTCCATAATCTTTACCTAGAAGTCATAGTGAGCATGTGTTGAACCTGCTCCCTCTAAACCTCTTATCTCCTAATCTTCTTTTCTTGGGTTATGTCTCTTTCTCTTTCTGTTCTAGTCCATATAACTTTTTGCATCTCTGCAGTTGATTAATTTTCTTTTCAGCTTTGTCTATTCTGATATTCCCTTTTAGTTATATATTTAATCTAGAAGTTTTACTTAATTTTTTTCCTAGTCTTTTTGGTTATCCTAAAATAATTTCTAGTTCCTAATTATTATTTTTTATTTGCCCTTTTAAAAAACATATACATTTAACACACCTATTTTGTGTTCTGTTTTAGATCATTAAGTTTTTACGGGTCTGTTTCTGGTTTTTTATCTTTTCTTTTCCTTCTTAGTTGCCTTACATTCATGGTATCCTGTTTCCTTTTGTGTAGGATTGATTACTATTATTATCATAATTAGGAGCTCATATTAGGAACTCTACTTACAGGAATCCTGTAGGAATTTTATGGCTTCTAAGTTCCTCTGAGAATATCTGCATTTATTTCTACCTACGGACAGTACTACCTTGGTCCATTTTAAAGTAAAAGTCTGTTATGGCTTTTCAGTTCCCAAATGTATGCATTCAGTCCCCAGTCCCTCATGGGGGCTGACTGAGGCCATAGATTCTCAAAGGAAGGTTTTTCTCCACCTTCAACTAAAGCCAGTGCTGAAACCAACAAGTATCTCCCCTTCATGCTTCTGCAGAGTGTAATCTGAAAACCAGAATTTCCATGCATCCTTTGTCGTTTCATGCTTTATCCATGGAGGAGGGTAGGCTGACTCGATGCCCTTCGCTGTGCTCATTCTTTGTCACTTGTCCTGCTGATAAGGTTGTTAAGCCAAAACTATAAACCAATTACTTGGATTAGCACATATTCCCGGACAGCCTAAAGCTTCTGTGTTGCTCACTTCCATTGAATTATGTTCCCATTCTTGCCTTGACCTTTCTCTCAAGCTCACACATATATTTAAATTGTCTTTTTAAAATTTCATATTATATGGCATTTTTAGTCGATTTGTAAGAGGAGAGTTTCTGGCTCTCTATAACTGTCATATTTCCAAAATGGAAGCCGTGAACACTGACTTTCTTGTTCACCATTGAATCCTAGTACCTAGTGCAGTGCCTGACATTAAGCAGACATTGTATGAAAACTTATAGATTAAATGAATTAATTAAAATATTTGATATTGTATGTATAACTCTTCGATTCTAAATCATTTCTTCAGGATAAATTCTGACAATCTGGAGTACTGTGTTCAATGTATGAACAATATCTTACTATACACACTCCTATATTACTTTCCAAAAAAAGATATAAATACACATAGTAGGTTAACAGGTTAGTACTCATATTAGATGTGCTTTAAATTTTTACCAAATGGTTAATAATTTGTTTCCTTTCTTCCTCCGAGAAACAGACACATCATCACTCATCTTTGTGGATGTAATGTGTGCTTCCTAATGACCTCTAAAGCGCCGAATAGAATGCTCTGTAGGCCAAAGAGTTTGCTTTGCTGCCAATCTTGAAAATTACGGGACACAAAACAATTATTTGGCCCTACTTTTTGATGCAAGAATTTCAAAGGCAGATTAATTAGTATGAAGAAGGCATATTTTTTCCCTCATGAGACATGACTTCATTGCCTAGCTAAGGTTGTGTCCTATCCTCAATTTTTCTCCTACCCAAACTACACTTACAGAATTTAGATAGAGAAAATCATAGTCTTCCTAACGTTTCTGACAATTTTGACCATGAAAGGTTAAGTACCTCCATGGGCAACTTAAACTTATATGACTAGAATTTACAAACACAATTGACCAAGATCACTATTCTTATCCACACTAAGGGGCTGATATTTTCCTAAAGAGAAAAAAGAAAGGCTCTCCTGTGTATTAATTAGCTGTGGTACTTGCTGATATAGACAAGAATGTCTCCAGGGCCTGGTGTATCCTTTATTATACAACTCGAGTGTAGAAAATCAATTTCAGGGTAAGTCTATGCTGGGAAATCTTCCCTGGGGTTTCAGAAAAATGTAACTGGGACTTTGAGAGAGAACGTGATTCTGGCGCACGTGCGTGTACAGGGAACATAATATGGATGAGGTGTTCAGCATCAATTTGCTGAATGGAATGAAAATAAATTAATACACAGGTAAAGGGTTTTTTCTGCTTGGCATAGAGGGGTGTGATGGTTCAGAGATGATGCCATATCACTCAAAATTCCAGGGTTCTTGGGAGACAGCAAAGATCACTCTCCTTCCCTCACTGCTATGGCGATCCACCAGATCAGACGGTTTCCAGCACCCTCCTGTTCTTAGCACGCCCTCATGTCCAGTTCTCATCCAAGAGTCTGGACTCAAGCTCAGTATTTACTCTAATGTCTCTTCCTCAGGCTTGGATAATTAATCATGGACAGAGCTTGAATCTGAACCCTATTAAGTAGTTGTTGATAAATTATTTGTCAAAGGCTAGTCTATTAGTTAGGACATTTATCATAACCAGTTGCTGAAACAACTTTGAAACCTCAATGGCTTAGTTGCTTCACTTAGAATAATAGTCTCTAATCTCATCCAGGTCATTGCAAATGCTGTGAACTCATTCCTTTTTATGGCTGAGTAGTATTCCATCCATCACACATATATATACATATGTCTGTGTGTGTGTGTGTGTGTGTGTGTATATTATATGTGTGTGTGGGTACACACACACACACACCAGAGTTTCTTTATCCACTCATTGATTGATGGGCATTTGATTTTGAGTTGGTTCCACAATTTTCCTGTCATGAATTGTGCTGCTATAAACATGCATGTCCAAGTATCTTTTTCAAATAATGACTTCTTTTCTTCTGGGTGTTCAATGGCATATGAATAATACAATGGACTTTGGAGACTTGAGGGGAAGAATGGGAGTGGGGCGAGGGATAAAAGACTACAGATACGGTGCAAATACTGCTTGGGTGATGCATGCACCAGGTTCTCACAAATATCCACTAAAGAATTCACTTACGTAACAAAATACCACCTGTACCCCAATAACTTATGGAAAAATTAAATAAAATAAAAATCTCAGTGGTTAAACAAAGGAAAATTATCATTCCAAAAAATAAATAGAAAACCAAGTTCCTACCCTTTTATGGCTCTCCCAGCCTCTTAGACTTCCTCAAAGTCCTTGGTTGGATGTTTCTGCATTTACCTAGAAAGTTAAAAAAAAAAGAAGAAGAAGAGTGAGAAGGACCTTGCAAGTTGTTTTATAGCCAGGTCTGAAAATGACCTACTTCAGTTATATCCACTCACATTATATCGGCCATAATGAATAACACGGCCTCAACCAAACTGAATGATATGCTGAGATACGTGCACAGGAGAAGGAAATGATATTAGTGAACCTCTAGTTCCTCTCTGCCATAGCTGATTTGTGTGTCAAGTATACTTATCAAAATAAATACGAGCCTAATATCCCAAAGAAGATAAATTAGAGAGTTATTTATCTAATTTATAATTTGACAGACTATATAGTATATTTTAATATTCAAAACAATGAAATTAATTAAAACATCAGCATTTCATCATACTAGGATCAACCAAATTCCATAACATTTGATGGAAGAAAATATACCATTTAAAAATTATAAGGTTACTAGGAGTAAAGCTAACAACAAATTATAAACTTTATGGAGAAACTTGTTAAACTTAATTGAAGTTAAATAAATTTGAACAAAGTATGAGTCACATTTTGTTACTTAAGCTGAAGACTTAATATGTTATTTAACCCCTAATTAATCTTTTGAGATGTAGATCACCACCTGCTGAGGTCTGTCCTGCAGACCCTGACAAAGCAGTGGATGAGTGAAAGACAGTATCACATACTAGAGTACAATGAATTTGAGTGGGCTAGTGAGATCATCAGCTGCTTTCAGAGGGCAACTGCAGCTAACCGACCAGGACTCCCTATTCTTCCTTGCGTTTATTCAGTATAGATTTAATAACAGAGGTTCTAAGTCAACACACTTGTGGATAATTAACATGATTAAAAGAATGGTTTTACGAATGATAAAAGGTCTTGGTTTTGGGGGCCCAGAATAAACACCAGTGAAGGGTAATTCCCCATTCACATCCCCCTGAGAGGACCATCCAGCAGAAAGTTTACTTGGGTAAACAAATTAGAGTAGGGACAAAGGAATGTGGGGTAAACAGACTTAACTGGGGAAGCTTTTATTATTCTAATCTTTAGCCTATAACTTAAAGTTCTAACTTAAGAACTGGCTGCATTCAGCCTGTTCCATTAAAACTTTCCGGCCTTCCAAAAAGTTTAGGACTAAATTTATAACTTTCCCTAATATTTCCCTAATATTTTGCCGGCCACCCCAAGTCAATGCTAATACCTTTTGAAGTCAGTGCAATACAAAATATGACAAACATATTCTGAACTTCATATGAATGGAGGAATAAATGAGCTAAAACAGTTTTGTAAAAGAGTAACAGGAAGGACCTTTCCCTACCAGATACTAAGACTTGCTCTATGCTAAGGTGATTAAAAGTGTGTGAAGTTGGTACAGAAATAAATAGATGACCAGAACAGAGAACTCAGAAACAAACTTATACATAATCATAAATAGTATATAATAGAGGTGCTATCACAAATCAACGGGGAAAATGAGAAATAGACTACTCAATGGCTTTCTAGTACAAAAAAAAGTCCTATATAAGATAAAATGCAAAAAATAATTTACTGGTACCTTTTTAAAATAAAATTAAAATAATTATTTGAAATTCTTATAATGGACAATACAGGCTATGTATAGAATTTCTGGCAGTTACAAATTTTTTAAAACATACTAAGCATTTACCATGAAGGTATAAAGTGACTACATCAAAATTAAAACTCTCATTATGAAAAATTACACCTCTAAGCTGGCTAAGTGCCAAACAACAGAGCAGTAGAAAACCTTTCAATGTAAGAATAGAAATATATCCAGAATAGCTAAGGAAATCTTAGACAATTAAGAATAAAATCAAATAACTCAAAATAAATGTGGGAAAGAAATATGAATAAGCAATTCACAGAAATGGACATATGAGTAGCCAATAAGCATATAAAAAGGTGTTCAACTTTGCTAATAACTAGCGAAATGCAAATTAAAAGAATAATATTATTTTTCACTCACAATGCCAATATGTAAGTCTGATAATGGAGAAGGTTAATGAGGGTTTGAGTAATGGCCTTCTACTAATAAAAAGTCAACTCAACAGAGTCACATTGGAGATCAACTTGGCAATATCTATGAAATTTAAAATTTCACACTCTGTGGCCTGATACTTACTTCCAGATATATACCCTAAAATAACTGAGTATGAATATAGGGAACTTATGAGTGGGCATTCATTGTGCTATTGTTTGTAATTATAAACAAACTGAAACAAACGTACACAAATAAAGAAAATATTAAAAATAATAACGTTTTATACTATACAGTTGTTAAGATGATCTAGGCCTGCATACATATCAATGAGTAGTTGTTAAAAACTTAATGATAGTGAATAAATAAAAAAATAGTACAACATACACAGTGGATACAATTTGGGTTAACTTTAAAAGTACTAAAAAGTTTACCATATACAAAGGGACTTCAAAGTTCATGGAAAAATTAAATTAAATTACAAAAATAAAATATATAATTTTATTTTTCAAGATATGCTCCTCAAGTTCAAGACACTTTTTAAGTGTCCTGATGCCATTTAGTCCATCTCTAAAGAACTGAGGGTCCTGGGAATTTAACTATGTCGATATAGTTTTTTTAAACTATTAACTGACAAAGTAAAATGGGTGCCCTTTACAGACTTTTTAAGATTAAAAGACAAAAGGCAGTCAGAAGGAGCCAAATCAGGACTGTAAGGTGGATGGATGCCTAATGATTTCCCACTGAAACTCCTGCAAAATTTTTTAGTTACATGAGAGAAATGAGCAGGAGCATTGTCATGGTGGAGAGGGACTCTGATAAAGTGTTCCTGGGTATTTTTCTGCTAAAGCTTTCACTAACTTTCTCAAAACACTCATAATAAGCAGGTGTTACTGTCCTTTAGCCCTCCTGAAGTTAAGCAAAATGCCTTGAGCATCCCTAAAAACTGTGGCCGTGAACTTTGCTCCTGATCAGTCAGCTTTGGGTTTGACTGAAGCACTTTCACCTTTTGGTAGGCATCGCTTTGATTGTGCTTTGTCTTCAGGACTGTAATGACGAGGCTATGTTTTAACTCCCATTACAGTTCTTTGGGGAAATGCTTCAGGATCTTGATCCCACTTTAAAATTTCAGTTGAAAGCTCTGCTCTGCAGAGCTGCTCTGGGTACAGCGGTTTTGGTACCCCGTGAGTGGAAAATTCGCTCAACTTTAATTTTCTGGTCAGAATTGCGTAAGCTGAACCAATACAGATGTCTATATTTTGACTATTGCTTGTGCTGTTAATCTTAATCTCTTGTTCAATTAAGACACAGACAACATTAATTTTTTCCCCATAAATTGATGTGAATGGTCTGCCACTGCAAGTTTTATCTTCAATATTGTTTTGTCCCTTCTTAAAATGAGTTATCCATTTATAAATAAATAGCTGCTGACTGCTCTGGGCATTGTCCTCATAAACATTTTGTAGAGCATCAGTGATGTCACCATTCTTTCACCCAAGCTTCACCATAAATTTGATGTTTGGTCTTGCTTCCATTTTTGCAGAATTCCTGTTATTCTGATAGGGGCTTTTTAAAAACTACTGTCTTACCTTTCTTAGTGCCTCAAACTAGATCCTGTTCAGACATGTTATAAGAAGTTAGCATGAGTTTATTTTGGTGCAAAAAAATTTGAAATACATGCATAGTTTTTTCATAATATTCATTTCCATGAACTTTTTGAAGATACCTCATATAGTTTATAGATTTATATATGTATGTATGCTAAATTATTTTTACATGTAATAAATGAACATTTATTATACTCACAATAGTTACTATCTCTGGAAGCAATGGCAGGGGAATACAATTAAATATGGTAACTCAAATTGCCTTAAACTATTTTAATTTAAATTTTAAATTTTTATTAAAGTATGATTATAATATATATTTTCAACAAAATGCTTATTGAATAAAGAATATGTGTGTATGTATTATATATTATACAAATTCAAATTAGACAGCATGCCAAGTTCTCCTTTACAAAAAAGGAAGCCAGCCCCAGCATATGTTAAAAAGTATTTGAAACTTACAACAATTAAAACACGTTATACTAGCAGAAAAAAATATACTGATGAAAATCAATGGAACCAAATAGATAAGCATGCAAAAATTTTTATAGTATATCAGAATTTAATAAATTGTGAAGGCAGTATCAAAAGTCAATGAAGAAAAAATATTCTTCAGTAAATAGAGTAGGGAAAAAAGTTAACAATTTTTTTCAAAATTAGATCATTATATCAAACAAGATGATGTTGTCTATATGGATCAGTAAAAGCACTGCAGACTTAAGAAAATATAGAGAAATCAAACCTGATCTTGAGAAATAGATTTTCTATAAGCAAAATAAAAATCACCAAAAAATGAGAAATAGATTAAATCACTTAATGAGTATAACTGTCTATGCCTCAAAAACTGCCAGAGAAATACTTAAAAAGAAATATTTGCTCTGTCTATGATACATGATTAAAAGCTTTAATACAGAAAAAAGATCTTACAAGTTAATAAGAAAAACAGAAATGCCTAAATATCAAAAAAGAACAAAGACATGGATAATTTATAAAAGTATTAAAGGCCAATACACATATAAAATGTATTCACACTCACTAGTAATTGAAAATGCAAATTTAACTACTAGAAACATTCTTAGATCTCTAGACTGCCAAATTTTTTTAATTAAAATGTTCACTATTGGTAGGAGTACAGATAAATGTATACACATGTACTCTGAATAGGAACAGGTAGTAACTTTCCGGATGACTGTTGTTCAGGAGGGAACATACACTTACACCCAACAATTCCTATTGTGGAATTTTACCCTAAAAAAATTATAAATATGCACTAAATGTCTTTTTAAACTATCAAGAGGATGAAAAGAAGAAAAGAACAAAGACTAAGAGGAGAGAAAAAAGGAAGGGAAGAGAAAGAGGTCATGTAATGATAACAAAAAGGAAATGCTTAAATAAGCTGCAATAAATTT